GGATTTGGGGGCCCCCGAAAAAGGGGGGACACATTAGGGGGGGACCCTTGGCCAAAGGAGAGGGGTGGGAAACCCAAATTGGGGGTTCTAGGGTGGTGGGGCCCCATTTAGGGGGGGGAAGGCCGGGGCCCTTTTGGGGGTGAAATTTTTGCGGGCGAATTGGAACCTACCCCCTCGCCGCGCCGATCCTCACGCGGAGGGTAAAGTAAAACCCAGTGGGAGAAAACCCCTCCGCGGTCGGCAGTCTTCAGAGTGGACCCCCCCCTCCCCAGCCTCCCCTGTTGGTCTTTGGCACCCCCCCCCCCCCCTCCCCATCGGTGACTCGCGAAGGACACGGACACTCGGGGTGTGGGGTGGGGGGTCCCCCAGAGAGGGGGCTTTGGGGCCTTGTCGGGTCAATCTCCCCCCCAGAGGGGCCTCGTTGGGTCGATTTCTGGTCGATCTCATGTCGATCTTGGGTCGATCTCGGGTCGATCTCGGGTCTATCTCGGGTCGATCTCGGGTCGATCTCGGGTCGATCTCGGGTCAATCTCGGCCTCCGCGGTCGAGTAGCCTAGAGGTGAGGAGGATGAGGCGAGATGAGGCGAGATGAGGCGAGATGAGGCGAGATGAGGCGAGATGAGGCGAGATGAGGCGAGATTAGACGATATGAGGCGAGATTTGGCGAGGTGCAGCGAGATATCGCGAGATGCAGCCAGCTCAACATGCCTGGGGGTAGTCAGCATAATGCCTGGAGGGATTCGGCTTGGTGCCTGGAGGGAGCCAGCTTGATGCCTGGAGGGAGCCAGCTTGATGCCTGGAGATGCCTGGAGGGAGTCCGCCGCTTGGTGCCTTGAGGGGTCAGCTTCTGGATCCGTTTGTTCCTCTCGGCGATGCCCGTTTGTTCCTCTCGGCGATGCGCCGGCGTGGGGAGTGTGCGTGCGCGCGCGTGTGTGAGATGTGGATTGTGGCAGGCCTGCTGCTGCTGCTGTGGGCAAGTGTGCTCTGTGTGTGGCGCTGCGCTCGCGTGCGGTGCGCGCGTGCTGTGCGCGTGTGCGTGTTGGAATCGCGCGTGAGTCTGCGTGTACTGCGCGCGCGCCGGCGTGTGCTGTGCGCTGTGCTCTGCTGTGCGCCCTGTTTGTGTAGCTGTGAGGCGCAGCCTTGGCTGGCAGGGCTGCGCGGTGGGCTGCGGCGTGCTGCGGGTGGTCGTGCGCATGCCTGATGGTGTGCGGCGGCCGCGCAGCCCGCTCGACCGGGCCGTCGGCGGCCCAGGGGGCGAGCATGCCAATGCGCGCTGCATGTGAGGCTGCTGCGCGGCTGGCGCGCAAGTTTCCGTGCGGAGAGGGACGCGCGTATGTGTTCACGCTGCGGGCGCGGGCGGGCGCGGAGGGCGGCGCGGTCTGACCGCGGTTGTCGGACCTTAAGACAGCGTTGCAGATCCCTGGGCGAGGGTGGTGGATGAGGGCGGTCCGGCGGCGGAGCAACCACCTCCTCCCGACGTGTCGGCAGGCAGGATGTCATCCCCCGTGATCCAGACTGCCCCGTTGGAGGTAGGCCGCTCGTCTAGCCAATCAGCCTTAAGCGAGCGGCCTGGCCGTTGGAATGGCCTGAGACCGGTCCCCGTCGGGAGGACTGTTCTGACAGAGGAGATCTCCCACCGTCAGTCCGTCACCAGCGTCCCAGTGAGTACGGCGATCAGACCCCAACGCTCCCGCGCCAGACATAGTCCTCGTGGTGGTCTTCCGGGAGAGGGGCGGGAGCGAGGGACCTTCTTAGTAAGCCGGCATGCAGGCGCATGCACGGCCGTTCAGAAATTTTCCCAGCCGTTGGAATGGCTCCGCTCCTGCCCCTCACGCCGGGTGGACAGGCGGGGGGGAGGTCAATGACCTGCCTAGTCGCCCGACATGCCAGGCATGCCGACCTTTCGGAGCCCCCCCTCGTACACGTGTGCCGCTGGGATCAAGCCAGTACGCCCGAGGGCGACGGTCCCCCGGTAGTAGACGTTGGCGCCGAAGAGGGAGGAGTCGTCGAAGGACGGGTAGTCGTCGGTCATGCGGGGGGAGTAGTCGGTGAGCAGCAGGGAGGAGAAATGCCTGAGAGGGTGGGGAGGGAGGCGTGAGGCGCGAGGTGAGGGGCGTGGGGGCGCGGGACGCGGGGCGTGCGTGGGACGCGCGGCGTGAGGCGGAGGGCGTGAGGCGGGAGGGCGCAGGGCAAGGAATTGTGTGGGTGGGGAGCTGAATTGTGTGTATGAGGTATGCTTTGGTGCCCCAAGGCCGGTCGGGCTAATTTGGCATATCTCAGCGGTCTTCGCTTTCTTTGATTACGGCGATAAAAAAGTCTATTGTCCCCTCCCGGGTCATTTTTTCTTTCT